GTTTCTGGTGATTTCTCTCATCCTTTCTTGTCTTTGTCACTTTTGGTCTCTCTTTTGCACTGAAAGAGTCCCTTTTAATATTTTTTGCCGGGCTGGTTTAGTGATCACAAATTCTGGGATACTCTTATTTCTCCTTCTATTCTGAATGATATCTTTGCTGGATAGAGTATTCTTGGCTGTAGATTATTCCCATTTGGCACTCTGAATATATCATGCCATTCTCTTCTCGCCTGCCAAGTTTCTGTTAAGAAATCTCCAGTTAGCCTTATGGGCCTTCCCTTGTAAGTGAAGGACTTCTTTTGTCTTGTTGCTTTTAATACATTTTCTTTATCACTATATTTTGCAAATTTAATTACAATATATCTTGGTGTTGAGCTGCTTTTGTTGACTTTAATGGAAGTTCTCTGTGCCTGCTGGATCTGAATGTCTGTTTCCTTCCCCAGATTAGGGATGTTTTCAGTTATTATTTCTTCAAATAAAATTTTTGCTCTCTTTTCTCTGTCTTCTTCTGAGACTTATAGGTAGCACAGAGAATTGGTAAGAAAGAGAATGTCCACCTCAGTTTCTAAAGATAGTAAATTTGAACTTAGTTAATTTTTAGATATATGCACAATCATATTTTTAATTTTTGTGATTATTTGTAGGTTTGGTATAAGTCTGTAATCTTGATATATTTACCTAAATACATTTCTTTTGACTCAGGAAGAAATACAATATCTGCTTATAGATTACACTTATAATCATGAGAATCACTTATAATTATTTGAATTAGTAATTAAATTGCCAGAAAATCCTTTCAGCCAAATGGTTTTGTTTTTATTATTTATTTTTTATTTCTTTTTAAAAGAGAGAGGGAGAGAGGGAGAAGGAGAGAGACAGCAAGCCTAGGGGAGGGGCAGAGAGAGAAGGAGAGAAAACCTTAAACAGGCTCCACACCCAGCATAGACCCTGACGTGGAGCTCGATCCCAGGACCCAGAGCTCATGACCTGAGCCAAAATCAAGATTCAGACACTTAACTGACTAAGCCACCCAGGTGACCTGGTTTTAAATTTTAGGAAAATTTTTTTAAAAAAATCAAGGAAGGATGATGTGTCCTTTTCAGAGACTGGAACACAGAATAGAACATAAGTCAAGTAATCCTGCTGATCATTCAGTAATTTTTTAAAAATATTAATGTACCTTTGACAGGGAACAAATGAAGTATGAGAAAGGGAAATTATAGGTCCTTTCACTTAACTAAATATTTGAAAAGTGAAAGTAGCAAATAATTGTAGAACATTATGACCAAGTAGATTTTCTCCTCTGTTGAAGGATATTTTAATAGTAGAAAAATGTATTAACCTATCACATTAACATATTTTAAAACATCAATGAATGTGACCGAAAGAACATTTTAGAAAATTACTCATACATTCATACACACATATTCACCAAATATGCACATAATACTTTCCTTCAGAAGAAAACGGCCTCAATGTGTTTAAATGGATCCAGGGAACAAGGGCAGCACCAACCAAAGCCATGTGTAACCTAATATCATACTTAATGTTTTACACACTACAGCATTCCATTTTAGGATCAGAATAACACAGGGGTGCCTATTATTTCCATTTTATTCAGTAATTTAAAATATAAAAAATTTAAGAAAAGAAATATTTAAAAAGTAGGGTTTAAAAGGTAAGACATAGAATAGCTATTACATAGACCATGTTTCTGCTTTGAGTAACTTGGGTATATGGTGATGTCATTAACTACCTAATATCCATAATATAGAAGGGAAATTATATTGATTTATTCTCAAACAATAGAAAGAAGAGGGATACTAAAGAAGTAGTACTTAAATCAATTTGTTTTCCACTTAGTTTGTATCTATACAATTACTGTTAACAATACCCATTGTGAAATAAATGATTTGAGGGGCATCTTTATACTAGTAAATCTCTGAAAATTGCAACTTGCTTTTGTCCTTCAGAAAGCAGCTTTAAATTTTAAATGATAATGAAACTTTTTAGAAAACCTACTTATTACAACAGAACGGATCAAATGCTAAAAAATAAAAAAGTGAAACATCAAAAGTAAGCTGGTGCAACTATAGCAATATCAGATAAAGTTAAAGAAGCACTTCAAGAGATGAAAGGTACCTTAATGATAATGTGATCAATTTATCCTGAAGATATCACCATACTAAATCTGTTTGTACTCAGAAACAGAGCTCTAAAATATGTAAGGCCAAAAACTACAGATAAAAGCAGAAAGAAATAATATCACAATAAATTGGGGAAATGTCAACACACCTTTATTAATAGCTGTAAAGTTACAGAAGACTGAACATGAGGTTTAAAATGACTTATGCAGAAAACTGTACCCAATGACAAAATTCACATTCTTTGCAAAGTGGAAAATTTACTCACATTGACCATGTGCTATGCAGTGATGAACGTGTATGTTTTATGATGATGTCACAGATTGGGTTCTTTGGGATGCAGTCTTTGAGAAGATTCCTGTGAAGGCAATTTATTAGGGTATGCTCTTGTGATGAACCCCTGTGGAAGGGAAGGGGAGGAAGTGGGAAGGGGGAGATGGAGACTCTGAGTCTCAACAATGTGTGAAGCTAGCATGGCCCATCAATATCTGGAGTTGGGATGAAGGGGGTTCTCATTAAACATGGGCTGTCTCAGAAAGTTGTGACTTGGTGTGAGGTGACCCTCTGTAGCTGAGGCAATTCCTAAAGAGGACAGGGAGAAGAGTGTTCTTACAGTTAGGGTACTTCCTTTAATCTGAAAAGGGGACCTGTGCTAAGCTGAAAAGAAGAGGGACCATAATTTTATCTTCTGTATCACTAAATCATTCCTCTGCTTCTTCCATCCTAGTGGTTATCACATCCAGTCAGTTTCAAATCTCCGTTATTGCATTTTTCATTTTGACCTGACTAGTTTTTAGGTCTTTTATTTCTGTGGTAAGAGACTCCCTGGTGTCTTCTATGTTTTTCTCAAGCCCAGCTAGTATTCTTATGATTGTTGCTTTAAATGCTGGATCAGGTATATTACTTATATATGCTTTGATTAGATCCCTGGCTGTGACCTTTTCTTGTTTTTTTTTCTTTGGGGATGAATTCCTTCATCTTGGCATTTTCTCTAGGTCTCTGTCTTCTGTGTGTTAGCAAAGCCTGTTAGGTTTTGGCTCCCAAGAGTGATGGCTTTATGAAAAAGATACGGTCCAGGGCCTGGTGCTTCAGGAAGTGTCTCTGGTGTGTGCTTTGTGCACTCTGCTGTTGTGGTTTGGTTGCTCTTTCCCTCATATCAGTCTTCTGCAGTTTCTCCTTGCCTGAGGGGGTGTTTGGACCTTGGCCAGAGTGTGGCGTTTTAACTAGGTGTGCTCTTGCTTGCTTTTCAAAAACGACTTGAGAGCTGAAGTTTTGCAGAACACTATGGTCAGTAGACATGGTGTGTGCAGGGGTTTGTGCTGGTCTTCTTGGGGAGGGGCCCGCTGCTCTGGTTCTCAGGTACACTTGCCTGAGAAAAGCCATACTTGCAGAGCACAGGGTTGTGGAACTTGGTGTAACAGCTTAGGCAGTCAGTGTTGGTGGTGTCCTGCTTATGAAGTTAGTTTATGCTGAGGGGCAGGAGAGAGAAATGGTGCCAGCCAGCTCCCTCGTCCCTGGAGAGGGGCGTTCGCACATGCTGCTCCCAAGGAAGTCCTCCCTGAAGAGCAAACAATCTCCCCTCATGTGTCCCAGGCATGCCTCAAATTGCTGCCTTCACCCTGTCTGCATTGGCCTCCTGCCTGACTGACAGCACTGTGCACCTTGGCCTCTATCCCAGGCAGGTCAGCTGAGTTTTAAAACTCCAAACTTTAGGGACCTGGGCTGGTGTGGACTCACGCTGTTCCTCTGGGGTAGGGTCTCACTGTTCTGGGACTGATGCAGGTTCATTCCAGAAGGGCAGTCATACCAAAGCACAGGGGCACAGAATTTGGAATAAAGTGCAGCAAAGGGCCAGAGTCCAGGATAGGCACCCTCAGCAGGTGTCTCTGCACCGATGCTGAGGGGCAGGGGAAGGTAATGGTGCCCATTGGCTCTTTTGTCCCCAGAGAGGCAATGCTGCCTCTCCCAGATGCACCCCAAGAAGGGGGAATGGTCTCTCCTAGTGCATTCCGGGGAACCTCAGATCACGCTGTCTGTCCCTGGGCTATCTGCCCTCCTTCTCCACAGGAGCACTGCAGCACCCTCCGGGCTCCACAACTCCCATTAACTCTAAAACGCCAGTCTTTGAGCCCCACTGGTTGTAAAACCTCCTGAAAATCAGCCCCTCTCATTTTCCCAGTCAATGGCTTTGGGGAAATGCTATCCCCTGTGTGCTCCTCTCTCTGTCTTGGCTCTCCCTGTGACTAGGGCTCCCTCCCCTCTGCAGTATCTGCAATCTGTTTCTCCCCTAAACCATGTCTTCACACCTTCTACCTTCCACAATGTGGCTTCATCTCTCTAGTGCATTCCTCAGATTGATTTCTTGAGTATTTAGAATGATTTGATAGTTATCCATCTGTGTTCAGGGATGAGGCAAGCCTAGGGTCCTCCTACTACTCTGTTATCTTAGCTCCCCACTACCTGTGCTATATTCTTTAATTTTCAATTTATTTGGGCTAGAAATTGGAAAGTAGAAAAAAGATAATTAAATTCAAGTTTCTTCAAAGATTACTCAACATTTCTAAATGTAACCATTTTAAATTAAAATTTCATTATGATAGTAAATTCTAATGACTGATGCTATTAGTTTAGAAATAGATTTAGACTCCTTGATTTTATTTACATTGAATTATGATTAATTCTGTCATATATTCCAAGATGGAAGAAACATAGCAACATGCATGTATATATAATTTTGAGACATGTGTGATACCATCTGTTTACATGAATGAGAACCTATATTTAAGAAATTATAGCTTTTGAATTAAGAATTTTAGATTTCTACTAATTACTTTTTCTCTGAATACTTTGCTGTAGGTCACATATGCCATCAAAATTGACAGGGAAACATATACTTTCCATCTTAAAAAACAGTAAGTGGTCATTTTTCTTTTCATACACTTCTTTCATTTCTTCAATTTTTACAATTACTACCCTATGTTAAGCCTAAACAAGAGCTTGCCTGTTGTATTTATTTAACATGTTATATCTTTGTGATTTATGACAGATTAGAATTTCAAGTCTTCATCTTGAGATTTAAATCTAATATTGGAGCCTAATTCTAATTTAATGATATAAGTATTAACGTATATTAGATAAATTAAAATTATTCTATGTAACTCCTTGAAATATAACCATAAAAACATCAATGTAAAGGAGTAATTTTATTTGTACATGTTTAATTTTGTTTGTCTTCATGTCATTTTACATATTTATGTGACTAAGCATTTTACTTGATATTAGACCATTTTTTTCTCATCTTGGTATAATAATTTAATCTTTTAAATTTTGTTTTTTACTTTTGCTCTTTGAGGAAACCAATAATAATCTTGTGTGTATATTTCCACCATTTTCTATTCTAAATTTCATCTTTCCCTTAGATAAAACCTATAGAAACTGATCAATAAAGTTCGTTTTTACACAAATAGAAATACAGTTTTGCCACTAGTAGGTCTTATTTAATAATGGTGTTCGGGCACCTGGGTGGCTCAGTCATTAAGCGTCTGCCTTTGGCTCAGGTCATGATCCTGGGGTCCTGGGATCGAGTCCCACATCGGGCTCCCTGCTCCGCAAGAAGCCTGCTTCTCCCTCTCCCACTCCCCCTGCTTGTGTTCCTGCTCTCGCTATCTCTCTCTGTCAAATAAATAAAATCTTTAAAAATAATAATAATTGGGGCGCCTGGGTGGCTCAGTTGGTTGGGCGACTGCCTTCGGCTCAGGTCATGGTCCTGGAGTCCCGGGATCGAGTCCCACATCGGGCTCCCTGCTCAGCAGGGGGTCTGCTTCTCCCTCTGCCCTCTGCCCTCTTCCCTCTCGTGCTCTCTGTCTCTCATTCTCTCTCTCTCAAATAAATAAAATCTTAAAAAATAATAATAATAATAATGGTGTTCATTTTCTTGCTCTATGTATATATTTTTAATTCATTTTTAATAGATAACATTCCATAGTATGTAATATTGATAGATAATGAGGTTAGTTGCAGGAATTATCACTATAGAGTCCTGCAATAAACATCCTTGTATGTCTATCTTATGTAATAGAGATTTTGTTTTGTAGGCTTGTTATCAAGAAATGGGTTTCTGAATCAGGAACTATGAATAACAGTAATAATAGTAATAATAATAACAATAACAACAAAAGTAACTGACATTTATAGAGCACATACCAATTGCCAGACATATTTCTTTCTTTCTTTTTCTTTCTTTCATTTAGAGAGAAAGAGTGTGCACATGAGTGGGGGGTGAGCAGGAAGGGACAGAGGGAAAAGGAGAGAGAGAATCTTAAGCAGACTCTATGCCTAGCTTGGAGCCCAAAGTGGGGCTTGATCTCATGACCCTGAGATCAAGACCTGAGCCTAAATCAAGAGTTGGTCGCTTAACCAACTGAGCCACCTAGGCACACCTTGTCAGGCATATTTCTAAGCAATTTGCATGTAGTAACTGATTAAATTTTCACAACAACCTTCTTTATTACTCACCTTTTTGTATTAGGATTTTGAGAGAAATGGCCAGTTTCTGAAATCAGTTTAGATTTTCAAAAGTATGTGAGATGTGCTAAAATATTATATTGCATCTTTGTGTCAATTTAGATTTCCCTAAATAACTTCTCCAAACAATTATCAGCTTTTTTCATTTTCTTGTTTCCTATTTAATATTTATTTTTTCAGAGCAGTTTTAGGTTCACAGCAAAATTGAGTGGAAGGTACAGAGAGTTTCTGTATGCCCCGTGCCCCCACACAGGTAGAGCCTCTCCTGTTATCAACATGCCCCACAAAAATGATACATTTGTTATAATTAATGATCCTACATTGACACATCATTATCACCCAAAGTGCATAATTTGTATTAGTCTCAGATTTTTTATATTGATTTTTTTATTTTGATTAAAAATAAAAAAGGAAAATTCTGAGAATCATATAAACAATTAGGTTCTCACCATGAGTGACACACATGTAAGCATTTTTTTTATATATTCTTCTAAATGTGTACATTGTAGGTAATAGTGAAATCTATTATTCCCATGCCCACACATATTCAGTTCTTTCATTCCCCAGTGCTAATCACAATTATGATACTGACACATACTCTTCTGTCATAATTTTTCTTCATTCATCTGTATGCCTAGAGATTAATAAAAATCATCATGTTTTCAGTATTGCCTTAAATAGACATAAATGGCACAATACTCCTCTATATAATTTATTTATCTTAATATGGTGGACTACTAAAGTGACCCCAATTCTTTACTTCTCCCTGTATCTTCACTCTTTGCCATGTAACTTTGAGTTCCTATCATCAAGAGGTAGAAAATATACATCTTCCCCAGCCTCCCCACTCCCCAGCCCTTGGATCTGAGTTTATTTATGCAAGGCCAACTTCATGGGTACATGGTCCTTCAGGGTCCCATGGTTAGAAAATGCCCTGTATGTTGCTGCCGTGAGATTCTTAGTACTTCTAAAAAAAATAATAACCCTTGTATTTTCATTTCATCACAGGCCCTGCAAATCATGTAGCCCATTCTATGACTATGTGACTTACACAGGTTTGAAAAAACTCACCTTCTTTCCTGCTCTCCATCTTTTTGCTCTGCCATCCCTACAAGTATATGCTTGGGCCAGCTTCCTGGAAAATGGAGATAGGTGGAGCACAGCCAAGGTGCTCTAATCATCCCTAGATCAACCAACATTCAGCTGAATGAATGAATCCAGAATCCAGATGAATGAATGAATCATTTAACATTCAGCTGAATGAATGGTTGAATCCCAGACCATTGAGCAAGTCTGGCTACCATTAGCAGAACTACTACTGCTACTCACTCATGACCCAGAAGTGTGAGCAGTAGATATTTATCATGTTATTGAATGTGGTTCTGGTTTTGGGGTTGTGCTTTTCATGCAACATTTTGTATAATATTATTTTTTGAGATTCATTCATATTTATGTGTGCAAAATAAGTTCATATATTTTAAATACATATGTAACTATCAAATAAGTATATCTTATTTATTATTTATTCACCCATATTTATAACAAGAAAAGGTGTATTGTGGATATCCTGGGCACCAGTGAAATTGGTGGGTTATAAATGATGCTATTCTCAGGAGTGCTATATGCTACCCATTTTTACTTGAGGGTTTATACCAATTTTCACTCACACCAATCATTCGAAAACATTTCTTTTCTCTATATTCTGACCAAAATTAGTATCTTCACTTATTTATTTTCATTAATTAACAGATAAGAAATGGTATTGTATTGTGTTTTAATATGTGCTAGTGCTTTATTCTGCTTTATTTTTTTAAAGATTTTATTTATTTATTTATTTATTTGAGAGAGAGAGAGGGAGAGAGCACAAGCAGGGGGAGTGGCAAAGGGAGAGGGAGAAGCAGATTCCCTGCTGAGCAGGGAACCAATGCCATCTCAATTCCAGGACCCTGGGATCATGACCTGAGTGGAAGGCAGCCACTTACCCAACTGACCCACCCAGGTGCCCCTTTATTCTGCTTTAAATAATGCTTTCAATATGTTTTAATTGTTTAAGAGTAATCTTTTCAAATGTTTACTGACTATTCTAACTGAATTTCTTCCCCTATGTTTTGTTTTATCTTTGGGTTTTTAGTTTCAATCATTTGTTTTGAGTTATTTTCAATCCATGGCTTATCTTTTTAAATTTTTTCTCCACGATCAGATTGTGGGAATTTTTGTTTATTGTAGATGTTAACCTTTTATCTGTTCTAGATGTTGCACATATACTCCCCAGCCTATTGGTTCCCCCCTCATGTTTGTGGGATTCATTGCTATAAAAATGAAATTTTCATGTAATCATTTTATTCACTATTTTTATAGGTTTTCAGATTTTTCTCTTGTGTCTCTCATATTCTGAACTTATATCATAATATTCCTATAGTATTAAAAATTTATTTTATATTTAAGATATAAATCTGAGGCGTTCAGTATTTTACAACTGTATTGCATTTTACAAGTTTTATCACTGTTTTTTTATTTGCAATTTTATGCTGACTCAGGTATTGTTTATTTAGTATACTTTCACATCGTTTTCTTCTTCAGTTAGAATATGCAGATGACATGTTTTCTGGATTTGTACATATTTGCAAATGTCCCTTTTGTTCTCATAATTGAATAACATCTTGACAGTGTGTAGAATTTGTGAGTCCTATTCCTTTGCTATTAATTTTTATAACATGATATCATTCATCTTACATCAGTTTTCCAGTATGTTTTGTGTACATGTGAGTACACATGTATGCATGTGTGGTATTACATTAATCCTCCCTGACATATGATAAATCCCTGAAATTTTCATTTTAGTTTTAAATCTCTACACATTTTTAAAGATTTTATGGAAATCCATGGTTTCATCTTGGGTCTTATGAATCTGCCCGCTATAGTATAGTTTTTCCTTCAACTATTTTCAAATCTTTATTTTAGCTGTGTTTTTTACTAGCAAAATATGTTCTCTTTATTGACTAGGACTCTATTTCTATTCTTAGCAAACAAATTCTCTTAGACACATTTATTGAATTATTTATTTTCATCTGTTATCATTTTAGTTTCAAAGTATCTTTTTTTTTCTTGAAAAGATCTGCTCTGAAAGCTTATTAGCTTTTTTAAATTTTCTTGAAATAATGATTATTTTCTTTAACCAATTTCTTCATTCAACTTCATTAGGAACTTCTTTTAAGTTTGCCTTCCACCCTTTTGTTGTTCATTTTCCTTACATTGAGTGGTCATGTGTATTTCTATTAATTCACTGATTAAGGCAGACTTTTTTGTTATTTTGTTATTAAGTTTTGCTAAAACTCAGCAACAAGAGGATTAAGGAAGGTTGCCATTAAATTAGTTGCCTTCCAATACAAAATGCAATACTCTGTAAAGGGTTAAAACATCTGCAAGTAGACTAATTTGTTATTTTGTATTTCTATTAATTCACTGATTAAGGCAGACTTTTTTGTTATTTATACTTCAAAAGTATACTTTTGAAGACCCAGGATGAATGAACTTGCAAACTAAAGTTTTATCCTTTTAATTACGCTTGTCAGTAATCTGTTGAATTTCCTTCTCCTGGCAGATGCTTCTGGATTCCCATTTCCACCACCTCCATTGACATGCTTAGTTACTAAAATGTGGCTCTGCCCTTGGGCCAGAATTCATGTTCCAGGTACTTGCTCCTAAAGCAACCTGTGTCATCTGGCGTTGCCCTTGAATATATGTGGACTCTGAGCTGATAAATATCAGTGTTTTGTTTTGTTTTGTGTTTTTTTCTGGGAAGCTCTCTAGTTTTGTAATTTGAATTGAGAAAAAGGAAGAGCTGTCTGGAATGAGAGAAGATGAAGCAGGTCTGGAAAGAGAAGTAGTGGTGAATGTGCATACTCCGTGAGTGCTCTGGTCCCTCTTTGATTCTGGCCTTGAACTGCCCCTTGGTGTTTGGAATCCTTGAGAAACCCCGGTTTCCTGGCAATTAATCCTGGGGTCAGATTGTTCCATAACAATCACTATCTTCTCTGTAAGATTACGCTTCGGTACTATTTATATGAGGTTTGTCTGTAGGATTCATGTAGCTTAAGAAATGTGAGCAAAGCACTAATTTCTGCTTCTAAACAAAGGCTTTAGGGACTATTGTATGCTTCTACAATTTCTTTTCTCCTTCTGCTACAAGAAAGGCATGTTCCACAGGGTAGGAGGTATGTCTTTTCCTGGGTTCCAGAATGGAGCTGAACCTGCAATAAACTTGTGAAGAACATTCATTGTTGTTTTGAGGCATTGAGAATTTGGAGGTTGTTCTCACCACGGTATAATTTCATGAAAACTAATGGAAAAAGCATATACTTTTTGTTTCTTACCAATCCATGGCTACTTGTTAGTAAATATTAACAAATTAGTAAATATTTATGCCATGAGATTTACGATTGTTGACTCTAAAAGAAAATTTTGCCATGGAAATCTGGAAGTCCTGGTTTCTAGTATACATAAGTCTATGTCATTATGGTGTCCTTACTGCTATAGATTATATTGCTTAGTATTTTTTCTTAAACAAAATATGCTATCAGAAGGCAAATGAGATAATGGAGAGATGAGTCCATGTAATTTTTGGATATTTGAGCTTATAAAATTGAAAAATTATTTAATATCAGGATTCTATTTTTGCTAATGTTACTGTTACAATGAAGTGTCATTACTTTGGTTGAATTAGGTCATTTTTAGACCCTCATTTCCCGGTGTATGCATACAACAAATCAGGAACATTGTATCCAGATTCTTCATTTATAAAGGTAACTTTTCCTTTATGCTCTGTAGATTTACATTTTTTTATTTCATCAAGGTGCCATTGGTGGAAGAAAAATAATGCTTTCTACCCCACAGAATTATTGGGCAAGCAGTCAGAAGCCCAAACATAATGTGTCAATTACTATGAAGGCAGATTGAACAGAACAACTGCTTTTCAAATTTGGAACTCAGGAACGTCCTATCCTAAAAAGGTCTTTTAAACCATCAGAAGTATTAGTAGGGGTCTGAGAGAGAAAGAAAGTGGGTTAAGGAGCTAAGAATAAGAAGCCCCTAAATACAGATTCATTTTAATTGAGATGTCATAGGACCTGAGCTGTGGAGGAAGTGGTGGAAATTATTTTGTGGAAAGACCTTATAGAAAGAGCTGCCTTATAGAAAGGAAAGTGAGGATGCAAAAATATATTGGGTACAGAATCTGAATAGGTTCACATGTGAAACATAGGAGTTTGCATTGTATCCCAAAATGCAGATAGGAGTCAAGAACTTTTTTAAAAAGATTATTTATTTATTTATTTGAGAGAGAGAGAGAGAGATCATGAGCAGGAGGGAAGGGTAGAGGGAGAAGCAGACTCCCTGCTGAGCAGGGAGCCCGATGAGGGACTCAATCCCAGGAACTTGGGATCATGACCTGAACCAAATGCAGACGCTTAACAGACTGAACCACCTAGGCACCCAGGAGTCAAGAAATTTTTAAGTGTGTGAGAAAGTTAACTTTAGTCTGTGAGATATTTATTTTGTGAGAAGAGATTGGAAAGAAGTAAATTCAAGTGAAGGGTCAGATTCTATTGCTGTATTGCAACTGAGAGATAATGAAATTAAAAATAAAGTAACTAGTACAATATTGTCTTTGTCAGCATCTGCAAGTAGAAAGCAAAACAAAATACATGAGACACCTGTTTGGAGACATTTGACAATAGGCAGGTCAGGATTTTTTTTTCCTTTGAGAGAAAAGAAAGCCCAGAAGGTGAGTCACATTCAACTTGGCCCTTCTGACTGAGGATAAAGTCTTAACCATAGCATAGGGAGTTGGAACCAAACAGAAGTTGAAGGGTTTACAGTTCAGAGCTGCTGAAGCAGCTGGAACTGGCATAACACAGGACCAGGGAAGAGAGGCCATCAGATGTATGATTTTTTTGCAGGGAGGGGAGCAGTCCTTATACCCTTGACTAAATATTAGGCTGCCTGTGTGCTGGCTAAGACTCTACTGAAGAGCAGAGAGTAAAATGGAGGTAATACTGTCAAATAGTGTTGGGAGATGTTGGATTTTCAGCCTGGGCAGAGTAGAATGACTTTGCTAAAACCCCAGACATTCAGCTGAGACCAGAAAGGCTAATCCTTAGGAGGAAGGATCAAGCTCTGAGGTAGGAGAGACTCTAATCACCTCTGTTCCCTACCCCAAGGCCTAACTAAAACTCAGCAACAAGAGGATTAAGGAAGGTTGCCATTAAAATAGTTGCCTTCCAATACAAAATGCAATACTCTGTAAAGGGTTAAAACGTAGAGGAAGGAAAAAATGCAGATAAGGGTAAAATCAATGAGAGAGAAAAAAGGAAAAATAAATAGAAAAAAATTAAAGCCCAGAATTTAGTTCTTTAAAAGGACTAATAACTTTAATAACCCCTAGTAAGACTGACCTAGGACAAAAACAATTTCCATCAATATTAGGGATGAAGGGAGATATGATTAGTCATACAGAAGATAAAATGATATTTTGAAGTATTATGAAAACTTTATGTCAACAGATTTGGTAATTTAGATGAAATGGACAACTTCCCTGAAAAGGGCAACTTATCGAAATTGAGGGGACAAATAACAGAAAATCTTAATCACATGAAATCTATTTAAAAAATTGAATTTCTAAACAACTACATTCCCATACAAGGTTTAGATATTTTCACACTTTACGTATTGAGAGATATTATGGTTGTTTCCAATTTAGCTATTAAAAATAATGTTTCTACGAACATTCATATTTATTTATTTTTAAATTTTTATTTGAATTCACTTTAGTTAACATATACTAATATTACTAGTTTCAGGAGTAGAATTTAGTGATTCATCAGTTGCATATAACTGCTGGGCTCATCACATCAAGTGCCCTCCTTAGTGCCCATCACCCAGGTACCCCATGCCCCACGGACTTCCCCTCCAGCAACACTGTTTATTTATTTATTTATTTTTTAAAGATTTTGTTTATTTATTTGACAGAGAGAGACACAGCGAGAGCAGGAACACAAGCAGGGGGAGTGGGAGAGAGAGAAGCAGGCTTCCCTTGGAGCAGGGAGCCCAATGTGGGGCTTGATCCCAGGACCCTGGGATCATGACCTGAGCTGAAGGCAGACGCTTAACGACTGAGCCACCCAGGCACCACCTTTTTGTGTCTTCTTCAATTTCTCTCATGAGTGTTCTGTAGTTCCTAGAGTATAGATCCTTTACCTCTTTGGTTAGGTTTATTCCGAGGTATCTTACGTTTTTTGGTGCTATTGTAAATGGAATCGTTTCTCTAATTTCTCTTTCTACAGTTGCATTGTTAGTGTACAAGAAAGCAACTGATTTCTGTGCATTGATTTTGTATCCTGCCACATTACTGAATTGCTGGATGAGTTCTAGTAATTCGGGGGTGGAGTCTTTTGGATTTTCCACATAAAGTATCATGTCATCTGTGAAGAGAGAGAGTTTGACTTCTTCTTTGCCAATTTGAATAACTTTTATTTCTTTTTGTTGTCTGATTGCTGTTGCTAGGACTTCTAGTATTATGTTGAAAAATAATGGCAAGAGTGGGCATCCTTGACGTGTTCCTGATCTTAAGGGAAAGGCTTTCAGCCTTTTCCCATTGAGGATGATATTCACTGTGGGTTTTTCATAGATGGATTTTATAAACCTGAGGAATGTTCCCTCTATCCCTATACTCTGAAGAGTTTTAATCAGGAAAGTGTGCTCTATTTTGTCAAATGCTTTTTCTGCATCAATTGAGAGGACCATATGGTTCTTCTCTCTCCTCTTATTAATGTACTCTATCACATTGATTGATTTGTGAATGTTGAACAACCCTTGCATCCCTGGGATAAATCCCACTTGGTCGTGGTGGATGATCCTTTTAATGTATTGTTGGATCCTATTTGCTATGATTTTGTTGAGATTTTGGAATCCAGCTTTGCGCAGTGGCAGTATCGTAGCCAATGAGGTTTATCCGAGGCGCGATTATTGCTAATTGAGATTTTGGAATCCATATTCATCAGGGTCATTGGTCTGAAATTCTCCTTTTTGATGGAGAATCCCTTGTTTGGGGATTAAGGTAACGCTGGCCTCATAGAATGAGTCTGGAAGCTTTCCTTCGGTTTCTATTTTTTGAAACAGCTTTAGGAGAATAGGTATTATTTCTTCTTTGAATGTTTGGTAGAATTCCCCAGGGAATCCATCAGGCCCTGGACTCTTTGTTTTTTGGGAGGTTTTTGATCACTGGTTCAATCTTGTTACTGGTTATTGGCCTATTCAGGTTGTCAATTTCTTCCTGTTTCAGTCTTGGCAGTTTATAGAATTCCAGGAATGCATCCATTTCTTCCAGGTTGCTTAATTTATTGGCATATAGTTGTTAATAATTTCTAATAATTGTTTCTATTTCCTTGGTGTTAGTCGTGATCTCTCCCCTTTCATTCATAATTTTATTAATTTGGGTCCTTTCTCTTTTCTTTTGGAAAAATCTGGCCAGTGGTTATTGATCTTATTAATTCTTTCAAGGAACCAGATTCTAGTTTCATTGATCTGATCTACTGTGTTTCTGGTGTCTAATTCATTGATCTCTGCTCTAATCTTAATTATTTCTCTTCTAATGTGTGGCTTAGGCATCATTTGTTGCTTTTTCTCTAGTTCTTTAAGGTGTAAAGTTAGTTGGTGAATTCGGAATTTATCTATTTTTTTGAGTGAGGCTTGGATGGCTATGTATTTCCACCTTAGGACTGCCTTTACAGTATCCCATAGGTTTTGAACCAATGTGTTTTCATTCTCATTGGTTTCCATGAATTGTTTAAGTTCTTCTTTGATTTCTTGGTTGACCCAAACATTATTGTACAGAGTTGTCTTTAGCTTCTAAATGTTTGAATTTCTTCCAATTTTTTTCTTGTAATTGAGTTCCCGTTTTAAAGCATTATGGTCTGAGAATATGCAGGGAATAATCTCAGTCTTTTGGTATCGGTTGAGACCTGATTTGTGGCCCAGTATTTGGTCTATTCTGGAGAAAGTTCCATGTGCACTCGAGAAGGATGGGTATTCTGTTATTTTAGGGTAAAATGTTCTGAATATATCTATGAGGTCCATCTGGCCCAGTGTGTCATTCAAAGCTCTTGTTTCTTTGTTGGTTTTCTGCCTAGATGATCCCTCTATTGCTGAGAGTGGAGTATTGAGGGCTCCTACAATTAACGTATTGTTATCAATATGACTCTTTATTTTGGTTAACAGTTGGCTTATGTAGTTGGCTGCTCCCATATTGTGGGCATAGATATTTACAATTGTTAGATCTTCTTGTTGGATAGACACTTTCAGAATGATATAATGTCCTTCTGTGTCTCTAACTACAGTCTTTAGCTTAAAATCTAATTTTTCTGATATAAGAATTGCTACCCCAGCTTTCTTTTGAGGTCCATTGGCATGGAAGATGGATCTCCATCCCTTCACTTTCAGTCTGGATGTATCTTTAAGTTCAAAATGAGTCTTTTGTAGACAGCATATGGATGGGTCCTTTCTTTTTATCCAATCTGCAACCCTGTGCTGTTTTATGGGAGCATTTAGGCTGTTCATGTTGAGAGTGATTATTGAAAGATATGAATTTATTGTCATCCATGTTGCCTGTGAAGACCTTGTTTCTATAGATTGTCTCTGTAAATTTTTGTTCTATATCACTCTCAGGGTCTTTCTCCTTTTATAGAAGCCCCCTTAGTATTTCTGGCAGGGCCAGCTTAGTCATCACATATTCTTTCATTTTCTGCCA